GCTCCCTGGCTGGCTGGGGATTGAACTCGCACTGCAGAGGCTGCGGACAGCTTCATAGGTTGTTTCTTAACCCTTTGCACCACCAGGGAGGCCCCCAGTAAAACATTTTTTAAATTTTTATTTTGTATAGAAGACCTGGAGTGTAGGACAGAGGTGTAGGGGGTGAGAGCATTCACCAGAGACAGAGTGGGGAGCAGAACAGGAGAATCTACTAAAATACACTGCTAAGGGGAGCAGGAGGCAAGACAGGAGAGGTCTGGTGTGCCAGTTGTGGATTAGTTGCCTGGCTGGGGATCATACTCAGGCCAAAGGGCGATAGTACTGAGACTTTATGCCTAGGCCACCAGGGAGGCCCAACCCAAAAGTTTTTACATTCGAATTTCCCTCTCCTGTCATTTTTAATTCTATATAAGTCCTGTGGTAAATGGGACTTGTTGAAGTCACTATTAAATTTTACGTTACAGACTGCCAGAGCATGATGAAGTCAAAAGATTTGATACCAGAATGTGGGCAGGGGGGTTGAAGTAAGTGGGAAGGTAGGTTGTAGCCCTTTATAAGGCTTAATGTACTCAAATAGGTCCATTTTTGTGGTAATTGCCAGATATAATTTTTTTTAAGATTTATTTATGCATATAGGAACTGTGGTACAGGCCAGAGGTGGGAGGGGCAGGGGTGAGAGAATTCACCAGAGACAGAGTGGGGAGCAGAACAGGCAGATCCACTGAAATATACTGCTGAGTGGAGCAGCAGGCGAGATAAGAGAGGTCTGCTGCAGTCACCTACTTGGCCGGGGATGAAACTCGTACTGCAGTATTTGCAGATAGCTTCATAGTGTTGATGCTTTACCTCTTGTACCACCAGGGAGACCCCCAAAATTGAAGTTTTTTATTCTATTTAATTTAGCCTAAATTTTTCTGGTATTATGTGAGTATTCTCTCATCACAGTACATAATTCTATAAACAATATTTTAAAAACTGTTGTTTTTCCTCTTCTCTCTCCAAAGCTAACCACTATATCTATTTGACACATACCCTTCTAGAGCTCTTTCCACTTTTATAAATGTGTTTCTACAAAATTTACAGGCTAATTTTTCTAAAGTACATCATGAATATTTCCCACCTAAATGTGCAGGGTAAAAATGTTTGCTGGATAAAAACAGAGATTTCAAAATAGGCTTACTGGCTATATCCTGTTACAAGGATAGAATGGGGTACAAAGGTGGGGAGGTTGGGAAGGAACAGGTGTAATTATTGCTCTCAAACTATAGTCTAGTAGAAGTGAAGTATGTAATAGAATAGGGTAAGTATTCTAATAGATGTGTGCATTAGGTGCTATTTGAGCACAGAAGAAAGAATATCAACCTCTTCAATAAAAAAAGGTGGCTGGAAGAACTGCTTAGAGATGGTGAAAGGGACTTTGAATTGGTTTCTAAGAATATTTTTTTGCTGGTCAGTTGTCACCTAGAATGATTAAGTAATTTACTGGATTTATTCTGTCTTTTGTGCAATTCATATCATCCCTTAAAACAAATAATCTCTTTGATATCCTAAGCCATGCCCCTGAATGCTAAATCCTTAATTATGTATTATTGTCCTTGAGAACTTAGACAACTTTAAATACTACAGAAAATTACTTTAAGATATTTGTATTTCATTGTGTAGAGGATTATGCAAATGTATTTTCTTTCCCCTTTTTAGGGAGGTGGTTGACTCAATGGTTCAGCATTTTAAAGTTACTATATTTGGGGACCGTAGACCAGTTTATGATGGAAAAAGAAGCCTTTACACAGCCAACCCACTTCCTGTGGCAACTATTGGGGTAAGATGTGCATTCCTTTATTAGAAAATTATATCTTTGCAATGTCTCCTTGATAAATACATTTATTTACAATTTTGTTTTATTACAATCTGTATGTATGTGTGTATCATTTATCATTTTAAGCTTTTATTTTGAAATAATTTCAAACTACAGTCCTTCAGAGAATTTAGATGTACCCGTTACCCAGATGCACCTATGTTCTTAACATTTACCGAAGAATTAACAAAGAATTCTCTTTGTTTTTCTCTTGTGCTCTCTATTTATCTCTATAGATACAACTTATATATACACACACACACGCATACAGATACATATGCATACATACATACACACGCCACACACGCACGCACACGCACACAGAGTGAGAGAGAGAGAGAGAGATACACAGGCATATTATTTTTCCACTCCCTTCAAGAGTAGCTTCATAGTTCTGCATCTTAATCCCTTGCACCACCAGGGAGGCTCCAGCAGCCTCTTTTTCCCCCCTCTTCTTTTTTTTCCTTTTTTTTTAAAGATTTATTTATTTATGCATACAAGAACTGGGTACAGGCCAGAGGTATGGGGGGTGAGAGGATTCACCAGAGACAGAGTGGGGAGCAGAACAGGCAGATCTGCTGAAATACACTGCTGAGGAGAGCAGTGGGCGACACAGGAGAGGTCTGCTGCGCCATCTGGGCTGCAGTAGCTGCGGTTAGCTTCAAAGGTTGTGTCTTAACCCCTTGCGCCACCAGGGAGGCCCTTTTTCCCCTCTTCTTTCATGACATTAATATGGTTATAGATTATAGGCAAGTTATTTTGTAGAATATCCTTCAGTCTGGATTTGTGTGGTGCTTCCTCTTGATTAAATTCTGATTAAACATTTTTCGGGTGAATGCTACACAAGTGTTCTTTCCTTATCATTGGATTATATCAGGAGACACATAATATGTTTTTGTTCCATTAATGATGGTGCTAACTTTCATCACTTGATTCAGTTGGTATCTGCCAAGTTTCTCCTGTGAAGTTACCTTTTTCTCTCTGCTCTTTGTAGGGAAATATTTTTTTTAATTGATTTAAAATACATAGCATGAAATTTACCATCTGAGCCCATTTTTAAGGAACAGTTTAATGACATTAAGTACATACACAGTTATCACCTATCACTGTAACTCTTTTCACCTTAAAATTGAAGCTGTACCCATTAAACACTAACTCCCCATTCCCCCTCCCTCAGCTCGTGGCAACCACCACTCTGCTTTCTGTCTCTGTGACTTTGACCACTCTTAGTACCTCAAACAAGTGAAATCATACTATTTTTCTTTTGTGATTGGCTTATTTCACATAGCATAATGTCCTCAGAGTTCATACATATTGTACCATGCATCAAAATTTCCTTCTGTGATACTCCATTGTATGTATATATCACAGTTTGTTGATTCAGTCATCTGCTAATGGATGCCTTTATTGCTATTGCAATAATGTTGTCATGAATATGGGTGTAATATGTAAAATATTTTAGTCCCTGCTTTCAGTTCTTCTGAGTTATCTATCCAAAAGTCAAGTTACTGGATCATATATTTGATAATTCTGTGTTTAATTTTTTGAGAAACCACCATACTGTTTCCATAGTGACTAGCCATTTTACATTCCCACAAACAGTGTACAAGTTTTCTAAGGTTTCCTCATCCTTGCCAGCACTTACCATTTTGTTTTTGTTTTTATGATAGTAGTCTTATTGTGTATGAGGTGACACCTCTTTTAATTTTGGTTTGTTTTCCCTAAAAATTAATGATGTTGAGCATCTTTTCATGTGCTTATATGCCACTTATATAGCTTGTTTAGAGAAATATGTGTTCAAATTCCTTGCCCATTTTTTAATTGGATTGTTTGGGGTTTTTTTTGTTGTTGAATTGTAGGAATTCTTTATTCATTCTTGACAGATATGTGATTTGCAGATATTTCTCACATTCTATGGGCTACCTTTTCACTTTGTTTATTATTCCTTTTGATGCACAACAATTTTTAATTTTGTTATGGGAGACACTTTTAAGGCATCTGTTTCACATTAGGCTGTTTCAGTAATTCATGGTTCTTGCTTAGAAGGATTACTGCTTTGTAGTAATGATTTTCTAATTCTGTCATTACTTCTACATTTATTAGTTGATATTCTACTTTAAGGAGAACATTTTACTCTCCTCTATTTATTTATCCTTATTTATTTGGCTGTCCAGATTATCCCAAATTTGACCAGTGGAAGCCCTTTTAAGTTGGTTCCTATGTCCTTTTGACATGACATTTCTTTGTTATTCTGAGTACTTCCTTACTTTCTAGCACAACAGGATGTTCTGGGGATCATCTTATGTTCTCCATGCTGCAGCCCTGCACTTAACTGTTGCTCAAAGAGCAATGATTTCTTTCAGTTGGGAAATGTGATTTAAAAACCAAAATCTGGGTACTGGATGTACTCATTGCTACTAGGGAATATGTGCTTCCAAACCCTTTCAGT